TTTCCGGCTGGAGGCGCCTCGACAAAGTGTCACATCATCAAACAGACAACACGGGAACTTGAGGAGGCACCTCCAGGCACCCAAGAAGACCCCCAGAGGCCTCAAGACCTCAAGAGGCCCCCGGGAAGCCCCAAGAACCGCCCAAGGGGCCCCAGGACACCGAACACGGTGGCTCGCATGGTAGCGTGCAGAGCTCACCTCACATGGCTTCAGTTATCCTACTCCCTTTCCTCGCCCGTCATGTCAACCCGCGACCCCCCCACGACGACGACGACTACGACGACCAGGACGACCAGGACGACGACGACGACGACGACGACGACGACGACGACGACGACGATGACGGCCCGCCCGACCCGTCCGTTGGCGTCCGCCCGCCCCGCCAGCCCGACCCGCCCCTCAGAGTCCGCCGCTCGACCCGTCTGTCTGGTTCGTCCGTTTGTTTACCTCCTCTTTTGCCCCCCTCCCCTCCTGCTAACCTCTTTCGTCCTCCATCCATCCTCCCCCCCTTGCCCCTTCCCTCCTCCCTCCCTCCCCCCACTCTTTTCCTCCTCGCTCTCCCTTCCTCCTTCCCCCTGCTCTTCCTGTTTTAGGGGCTGCGCCAACTACACGTGGCGAGTAAAAAAGATATACCCCCAAAGGGGTATGACCGAAGACGAAGAGGGTGGGTATCGAGGGTTTGGGATTTACATATTGAGTGACGCGCGCGCGTATAAGAGCGATCAGTCTTAAGATGATTGTTGTTGTTGTTGTTGTTGTTGAACATTATTTATTCTAAAGAATAATTATTGTTGGGACCCCTGGTGCGCGGCCCCCTCGCCGCGCCTAGGCCGCAGCCTCATTTTCATAATTTCCGCGAGGAAGTCTCAGGCAAAACGATGTGTACCAGATCCGGTTGTGTTGTTACGATCGGTTTTCCCTTGCAAAAAATAAGGCAAAGTGGACATTTCTTGTTCTAATATAACCAAACTTCAAGAATCCCTTGCAAAAAATAAGGTAAAGTGGACATTCGCGCGCGCAAGACGAAATCCTTCCAAAACCTTAGTGTTCGTAACGATTTTAACATAAAAACATCAAAAAACCAATGGTTTTTCAAAAAAAAAATGTCAAAATTCATCCCGCGCGCTCTTGCGGATTTGTAGGAAACCCAACACTTTTTAAACATTTCTGTCAAACGGGCTTTTGCGAGCAACTTTTTCACGTGCTTCGAACTTCTGCAACAACGGTTGCGCACCTGCCAGGGCCATCATCCCTGTCAAATAATACCATGCGGGACACATTCGTTTTTTCTTCGCGCGCGCACGCCGAAATCGTCCAGAAAATGTTACCACAACAAGTCACTGTACCCATGCGCCAGTGTAGTAGCCACGGTCGTCCGCAGGCCACGAAGTGAAGTGTCCGAACGTCATAGGGCGGGAAGCTGGGTGTGGGTGGTGGCGAAGAGTCGTTTGGAAATGTGGTAGAGCTTGAACCGGCCCCCCCACAAAGTGGGGGTATTGGCGGGCGTCGTATGAAAACCCTGGCACTGGTGAGAACGGAGTGTCCCCACGTGCTAGTAATTGTTGTTGTTGTTGTTGTTGTTGTTGTTGTTGTTGTTGTTGTTGGGGGGCCGGTTTGGGCGGTCCCCCCAAACGCCTGAGCGCGAGCCTCAATTTCATCGGAAATGCAGCCGGCGCCTCGGCGACAGCGCCAGGGCGGATGTAGGGGGTCCAACAATGTTAATTGTTTAACAATTAAGGTTCAACTGCAACAGCAACAGCATCAGCAACAGCGACAGCATCAGCAACAGCAGCAACAATGACAACCAACAACAATAACAAGAACGATAACAAGAAGAATAAACAGAAGAACAACAACATCAGCGACAACAGAAAAACATGAAGCATGCGAAAATCATGAGAATCATCCCCGTCATGGGGGATGCTTGTTCTATAGCGGGGTCGGTTATTCCCATTCCCAGATCTCCCGCCCAATGAGGTCTTGCCAAATCCTCCTCCGAGGAATTTCAACATATCCCACCTCGAAAACGCATGCCCGCGCCTTGCTGCGCCGATGCGAGACCGCCAGTGGAGCCATAGCCAAGGGTAAGGCACAAGGAAGTATCGAGCGACAGGATTGCCTTGATGGAGATGGGGTTGTCGGCGGCGAGGCAAGGATCTGGTCCTGAATAAAAAGGGAGGAAGTCTCGAGCAGGGCCGCTGTTGTTGCTGGGAACGGCGCCAGTGCTGAAGAGAGTAGGGCGCTAGTCCAGCGTAAAACACAACGAAATCTCGAGCGGGAATGCTGGTTTTGTTGGGACGGCGGTTGTCGGCGGCGAGGAGGAACACCGCCTTGAGTAAGAAGGGTGGAAGTCTCGAGCGGGAGCCGTGGTTGTGTCGGAACGGGGGCTGTCGGCGGCGAGGAACAGCACCATCCTGCGGAAAAAAAAAAAAGTCGGGCCAACTCAAAACAGAGCAGGGCGCCAGTCCAGCGTAAAACGGGAGGAAATCTCGGACGGGAGCGCTGGATTTGTCGGGGCGGCGTTTGTTCGGCGGCGAGGAGGAGCACCGCCTTGAGTAAAAAAGGGAGGAAGTCCGAGCGGGAGCGTTGTTGCTACTAAGAAACGGCGCCGATGAGAGGAAGAGTAGCGCGCCAGTCCTAGGTAAAACGAAAGGAATTCTCGAGCGGTAGCGCTGGTTTTGTTGGGACAGCAGCGTTCAGCGGCGAGCAGGAGCACCAGCCCTGAGTAAAAAAGGAGGCCGTCTCGAGCGGGAGCGTTGTTGTTGGGGGGTCGGTGTTGGCGCCCCCTCAAACCGCTCGAGCGTGAGCGTCAGTTTTAATGAAAATGTAGCCGGCGCCGAGGCGAGAGCGCCAGGGCGCCTGGGGGGGTCCAACAGTTGTTTAGTGATTAACTTTCAACAACAATAACAGCAGCAGCAGCAACAACAACAACCAACAACAACAGCAGCAGCAACAACAACAAAAATCCGCACCGCATAACCTCACTTCAGCTACACGCCCAGGGATAGTGAATGACCGTTACGCCCACTCACTCTAATATTGACGCTACGCTGATCCTCCGGGAAGACCAGAGGAGCAACTCCCTGCCTGGAGTCAAACGGGGACTCGCCACCTTGAGTGCATCCACTCGTATGTACTCACTACGTTCTCAGACCCTGAGACATCTCGCTGAGCAACGACATGCGCGGATCCAAATGGGTCCTTGCACCCCTGGGCGCTTTACTTTCTGATCCCCTGGGGAGTCCAACGGATCAGCGTCGCACGCGGATCCCAAATATAACCAGCTGCTGCAAGTGGTCCCGCACACTCGACTGCCACAATTTGTCAGCGCCTGGAGAGTCCAGTGGAACAGCCTCCCCCCTGGACCCATATGATTGCGTACTTGATTCCGTGGGTGCTCCTGGAAGTGGAACTGCTACCACGCGGTCCAGAGGAACATTGTCTCATCCAGATCCACATGGTGGTCCTTCTCCGTGGGAGCTCCCAAACGTAAAGCTGTCGGCACTGCTTCAGCCGCTGGCGCGTCCACCGGAGCGGCTTCCCAAGCAAAGAGCCGTTACCATGTTCAGAACACTGGCCACAGGCAGAACTCATCAGAACTCGACTTCCTGAATGCTCCATCTATGTGGTCTTGCGTGGGTTGGGCAAGTCCCTGAGAATATCTGCTCCCCTGCCATGGGAGCCAAGGCCGCGCCTGCTTCGCTCGGCAGATGATCTGTCATTGTTGCCGTCGCGTGCGTCGCCGTCTTGCCGAGATTTGCAATTAAAACAGCCACTGCCTTGGGACGCTACCACCGCAAATCCGGCTTTGGCCACTCGTGAGCCTCATGACATACAACGTATCGTTCGAAGACAGCTAATCCAAATGAATATGTAGTGCGGACGCACTCCGCATGTGAATCCCCCCGCATAGCACACGGCTACGTGCCATGAGGCCACGTATTCGGCGAGTCACGGCGCATGAGTGCACGTTCGCGCAAAATGTGATGACGGCGGACAGGTTGTCCTTTGACTACGCGACTAGTGACAAGGCTTCAGAGGAGAGGGAGGAGGGGGCGGAGGAAGAGAACATAGTAAAGAACCGAAATCTATACACCGACGCTTTCTCTGGCCCAACACTGGAACTCGCACAGGAAAGCGGATCCTGGTGTATACGGGATCCTGGTGTATACATTCTTCGTTGTTTCCCCCCAGAAAACAAGGAAAAAATAATACACCACACCACCCCGACGTCGTCCCCGACCCTCAAAAAAGTCATGGGATTGAAAAACCGCCCGTCACTGGTAATGTATGAGCTCCAGTTTTCAGCATACGGGAACGAACAATTACATAAACATAAGAACTTGGAGGTCTGCGGGGAGTTCTCGGATAGGCGCTGGACCCCCCTCCCTGGCGCGCTCCGCGCGCCAGGGGCGGCGCTGCCAGGGGGCCCCAGCGCCGATCCGAGAAATCCGCGCGGACCTCTGAGTTTTATGGTTATGTCATCGTCGCGTCCGTAGATTTAGGTCGGGCATGTACCCCTTCAGGCGGATTTTGGACGCAAGCCAAAAAAAAACCTAAAACAAGTTCGGTCGTCCCCGTACTATGTTTGACTACTTCTGACTACTACCCCTGTACAGTCGGACTTGATTGGAGAGGACACACGATAGGACACAAGACCCTTCTGAGGGCCACGTTGCCACAGCACTGCAAGAGGCATGGGTCGCAGGACACAGGACACGAGGGCACCCTCGATTTGGCAGGGTCGACCTCCTCATCCAGGCCGCCTGTAGAGAGACAGGCCCGACTGAACCCCAGATCGAGAGGAGCGGCGGCCCTCCCCCCCTCCTCCTCCTCCCCCTCATCCTCCCCCTCCTCCTCGCCCTCCTCCTCGCCCTCTTCCCTCCTCCTCCTCCTCCTCCTCCTCCTCCTCCTCCTGCTCTCCTCCTCCTCCTCCTCCTCCTCCTCCTCCTCCTCCTCCGCACAAGCTCCCGGCTGCGCGACAGGCTCCCCCCCCCGGCCTCAGCCTGCCCCCGGCACCCTCCTGCAGCAGGGCCGAGTTGTCGATCGGCCCCGGCCGCCGCGCCTCGCCCGCGCGGGCGCGGGGGGCCGGGCTGCTGGACCTGAGGGCCGGAGGGCGAGGCGGAGGAGGCGGAGGAGGAGGGGGAGGAGGAGAAGGAGGAGGGGGAGGAGGGGGAGGAGGGGGAGGAGGAGGAGGAGGAGCAGGAGGAGGAGGAGGAGGAGGAGGAGAGGAGGAGGAGGAGGAGGAGGAGGAGGAGGAGGAGGAGGAGGAGGAGGAGGAGGAGGAGAGGAGGAGGAGGAGGAGGAGGAGGAGGAGGAGGAGGAGGAGGAGGAGGCGCGAGGCGCCCAGCTTCAACCGCAGCTCGGGCGGGGCGCGCCCGACGGATTCCCCCCCACCACCACCACCCCTCCCTCCCGTCGCCTCCCTCCCCACACGCCCTGCCGTCCCCTCCCTCCCGTCCCCCTCCCTCCCCTTCCCTCCCCTCCCTCCCATCCCCTCCCCTCCCCTCCCCTCCCTCCCTTCCCTCCCCTCCCCTCCTGCCGTCCCCTCCCTCCCCTCCCTCCCGTCGCCTCCCTCCTGTCCCCTCCCTTCCCTTCCCGCTCCCCACACGCCCTGCCGGACAGCGGCGCTGCCGTCGGGGAGAGGAGCATCCCCAGCCTGTCTCGCCGGCGCCCCGCCCTTCTGGACAGCGACGCTGTTTCGGGAGAGAAGGGAGGAGGGGGGAGGGGGGCGGCAGCGTCGACGTTGTCGTGGAGGGAGGAGGGAGGAGACGGGAGGAGGGGGAAGGGAGGAGGAGGAGGGAGGAGTGAGGAGGGAGGAGGGAGGAGGGAGGAGGGTGGAGGTAGAGGAGGAGGAGGAGGAGGAGGAGGAGGAGGAGGAGGAGGAGGAGGAGAGAAGGAGGACATTCGAGGACATTCGAGCGAGGGGCTCCGCGGTCGACTCGGCCGCCGCGGCCCCCGCCCGCGCAGGCCGCGCGGGCTCTCAGGGGTCGCGACCCCGCCCCCTGATCAGGGCGGGCGTCCACCCCACTGGCACTCCAGGCCAGAGTATCTCTGCGGGGCCGTAGCCCCGTGCCATGAGGTCAACCACGAGGTCGTCGCCCAGCTGCAACTCGTGGTAGCCGCCCGCCGTTAGGCGGGATCGTCCCATCTGGCCAATTCTGGCCAACCTTTGGTGGTAGTCCTTGTCGTAGCCGACGAAGTACAGTAGTCCCGCTCTGCATGATCTTGTTCCTGCAATCCGTCGCCAGTAGGTTCACTCTGCCGTGTCCGTAGTCGTTGTGCGAAGCCACCGCAGCACAATTCCAACACCAGAACTGCCCATGGGCAACTGCAATGCTGTGGCTGTCGTGGGTCACTTTGTCTTTGATCTCAATCAGCTCGTTGTTGGGAACACGGACTGCATGTCCATGATCTGCTCGGTGTGTCTCGTACTGCCTCCCGATGTACACGTTAGCCTTCATCCAGTCGACCACGCTGTACTTGCCTGGTGTTAGCCAGCACTCTTGGCATACCCATTGCCCTTTTTTCTTTCGCACTATGTGGCCCGACTCCTTCTCGGTATGATCTCTTCTTTCCTTTGCTATTTTCTTAGGCATCTGCTTGGGCCTCTCTAGCTTGGTGGGGTTCGCATCCTTGCACACCTCGTGGATGATCGCTGCTGCCCGCCTTTGGGCCCTCATAAGTGTAGTCTCCACTTCCACCAACGCCTTGACCTCCTGCCGTATTTCTGCCATTGCCTCTTCTGCTCCTCGCTGCGCCAACGTATCCGCCATCTCATTGCCCATGCTGATGTGGAACTCTTGGCCAGCCTGCTTAACCGATTCGCCGTCGAGGTGGGATAAGCACTTCTGGACACGTACTCCATACACGCCGCCAGACCGCCTGCTGAGCATAAGTTTTATCCTTTCCCACCATGGTCGCTGAGCTCCTTGGGGATGCTCGTAATACTTCAGGGTCCAGCCATTCATAACCAGCTGGCAGTCCGTGATGATCAATAGCGGGCCTCGCGTCAGCGCCAGTGCCCAGAATAGTCCTGCATGTTCAGCAGCGGGTAAAATTTGTTCTCCATCTACGGTGCCATAGAACCCGATATGGTCTGTGCCTTCAATGAAGCCCGTGCTGTCGTTCGGCAGGCTGGCCTTGTAGATCTCGTGGGCCACCACATGCATGGTTGCTGGTAGGTCCTCATCATTGTCTTCATAAGTTTCAGGCATTTCCTGGTCGAAGGTGGGCGCTCGCTCTTGCAATAGTTCGCGGAACTTGGCCTTGATGTCCGCTACGTTGTCGAACCAGTGGGAGATGTATGCTTCTCTTTCCCAGCCCGTAAGGGTGAGGGAGTAATCGTACACGTCTTTCCGCTTCTTCTTGGACGATCTCCATTGCATATCACAAAGGTCCTTCGCGATCTGGCTAGTGCTTCGGGTCTGGTATCTTGCTTTGAGTAATTGTCGTAGTGCTGCTTGTTCTGGTTGTCACAGGTAGCTTTCCATGTACGGTTCGCACCACATCTTCCAATTAGCTTGGTCCCTGGTCTCGTCTAGGTCGATGTATACCGTCCATGTAGCTGCCCATATGCCAAGGTCGTGCATGATGCCCTTTCTCTGCTCCTCCGCTTCTGTGTCCGTTGGTGCAATAGCTTCTGCTTCCTGGCACACCCCAGTTGGGCTCCCTTGTGCCACGAGGGCGTTGGGGCACCACATGTGCGCCTGCCCTGGCCGCTTCCATCGTTCAACTCGTAGCTGTAATGTGAGGCCCCATCCCACTCGATTGATGCGCATGTCGTTGCTGGTGCCTGATCCATCTACGAAAGCCATGCTGCACTGAACGGGATCCATCGTGACCAAATTGCTTGCTATTAATTTGGGTCCTCTTGTTGCTGTCGTCCAATAGCTGCCATTCCAATCGCCCCATGCTGGTGGATCAGGTACAGGATTCCTGCGCTTTGGGAGTAGCCCTCGTAGCCAGTATGCCTCCGTCTCTGGGTTGTCGTGCATCTCCTCTAAGGCCTTCTGACATAGCGACTGTGACTTGACCACCGCGTCAATCTGGAGGTTGTCGTTCATGTCGCACTCGTAGATCCTGTGCTTCAGCGTGCCAGGCGCCTTAGTACAACGCGGACAAACTCCATCTGTCTGGTATCCTGCTGCTTTATATCGTTGTCCTGTCCATATCGTGCCACAAGCAAGTGCTTCTAACGCACCTGCTTCTTGGACTTGGTCAGCTTTTCGTAGTTTCTGGAGCGTCTTATTGAGCATGGTGGTGTCCATCCCGTGCTGCATGCCCTTACCGTAGTAGTGGTCCGCTGCTTTGGTCCAGAGCTGAGCTTGCATGTCCCTGGTGATGGACTTCATGATGTCGCGAAAGTCGAGCACTCCCTCACTCTGGAACCTCCACGTCTCGCCACTAGCATCATCCCACTCATCTGGCATGCGTGGATTCCACCCCAGCTGTTGCAATGAGAGAATAAGTGCCCCCATTGGTCCTGTCACGGAGTTCCACTTTCCACGGGTTCGGGGGGCCTCACCGAAACGCCGACGTCGTGACGTTCTCACAGCGTGGACCGCCCCCCCCCGAGGGCCTTGACCCCTCCTCAGGGGCCGGCCTTTCGTCCCGGCCCGGTCTTCGACGGCCTCCGGGGGCCGAGGGCTGCTGAAGACCCTCCGTCGAGCTTGTGCTTCACAGCGCGATGGGGTGGGGGCATGCTGGGGGCTCCGTCTTGGGCTCGCGGAGGAAGCGGGACGGACGCGCTCCAGAGTGCGCCCCAGGAGGAGAAGGAGGAGGAGGAGGAGGAGGAGGAGGAGGAGACAACGAATCGAGGAGTCCATAGCCCGCGGCAGGACTACGGGCGCGACGGCGGGGGCGGCTGCTTCTCAGAAGACGTCGAGAGCGCAGCCGCCGTCACGCGGAGGTGCGAAATCTGGAGCCCAATAGCCGTCGCGGTAGCGCGGTGGGGGTCTGCGGAAGGCGTACTCGCAGGGCCAGCGGCCTGGCATGCCATTGCGGCGAGATTGCAGTCCGTCGGTGGGATGCTGGGCACCGCGCCCCTGGCGGGAGGGATGCACGGCACCGCACCTCCGAGCGTACCGTCTGGAAGGGGACCAGAGATCGCTGACGCTGCAGTTTCGCATGCAGGGCCAGGCGAGGCAGGAGAGGCGTCTCCAGCGGCTGGGAACACCAGGCATGCACACTCGCCCTCTACAGGCGCCATTCCATCGGCTGGGAAGACCAAGCTCGACGGTCTGGCCTCTGTGGTGTTGTGGCTCCCCAGCGTAGCGCTGGCATGGGACGGATATGGACCGTGAGGGAATGTGGACGGGGAAAAGGTTGACCTCAGCGGCTCGGAGAGAGGGGAGGTCGCGGTGGCCAGCGGACCGAGAGGCCAAATGGGCTCACGACTGCGTGGTCCAGATCGTCTGGGTCGCAGAGCTCGCTGTCGGCGGTGCTGTGTGTCGGTGAGGGCGCCGCGCGGGGTCTTCGTGTGGGCCTGCCCGCGGACCTGCACGGAAGGCGCTCGCAAGCGGCCGGTGGCGCTCTTCCGGGGGAGAGGGTCCGCGTCGCGGACGTGGTGGCGCGCCCGCTCGAGGGCCCGCAAGTGGAGCTCTTGCTGCCTCGGTGGCCCGCGGGGCAGTCGTCGGCGGCACGTGGCACGGGCACTGCGTCGAGTGTGCCATGGCTGCTCACGCCAGAGGCATGCGACCTCGCGCTGCGCGGTGGAGAGGGCCGTCTGGTTCGTGATGTCCGTGCCAAGCGCCACGAACGCAAGTTACACCGCGAGACTGATGCAGTCGACGCCCAACGCCATGAAGTCCGCGCGATCCGTAGGGGCAGTGCCGCGTGGGAGCGACCATCAAGCGGCCGCTGCGGTTGCGCGTTGAGCGACCAGCTGGTGTACCTGAGTGGGGGCCGGTGGAGCTCCTGGGATGTAATCCTCCAGGTGCGCGGGGCGGTCAGGTACACGTCGTTCTTTTCTAATCGTGCCCATTTCTAAGTGTGCTCGTTTCTAATTGTTCCTGGCCCCCTAGTGGCCAGGAAGAGACCCAGGGCAGAAGCATTGGAACTGATAGGATCTTGGCCCCCGGACAAAAAATCAGAGGACCTT